TGTTTCATTTTTATATCGCTTCATTAGTTCCTCTTGGCATGGATTTTTCTGTCTTTTGAAGGAACTGTAAATAGAGACTTTAGTGAAGAGATGGCAGTGAGTACTTAGAGAGCTGAATGATCAGCTGCCAGGAGGCTCTCCTTCATTTCAGAAAATCTAATGGAAACATTGATGGAAATGGACATTTTGTTGCTCTTAGCAGGGCACACTTAGACATCTGGGTCCTACTAATGCAACAAACTTCTGCAAATAATGTGATCTGTTAACTACTCTTTAAAGAAATAATGCTTGTCTCTGAGGGTTGTTTTGTCAGTGTAACATATGAGATGGCTTCCAAAATTTTGTGGGGAAATTCCATAATCTTTAAATCCCATTTCCACCAACTTTTTTGAAGCCCCCTTGTATTTACCACCCTAATTAAATATTTAATAAAACTTTTTATTGGGGTGAAGCTTTCCAGAGCAGGTCAGTTTTCCATCCAACAATTGATACATATTTTCTCTCAAATCCTTGCTTGCAATCTGTGCTTTGTAGCTCACTTCTCCCACTTCTCTGTGTTTCCTGTTTCCATCCCTCCTTCTTTTCTAACCTTCTGACCTTGGTTCTTGGGTCAGTGCTGCCCTTTTGATCTCAAATGGTTGATTACTGGAAGGGCTGTATACCTCCCGAATGTTATTGTTTGCCCTGTTAGACCTGTTGTTTGGCTGGACGTTGTTGGAGATGAGTTCATTTCCAGACCTGAAGGGTAACTAAATGTTCCACCAGTCTCTATCCAACCTTTAAGCCATGGTTGGTTTTTTTTTTTTGCATCTTTTTTGAAATGATAGGTTAATATTTTCTTGCTTATTACGAATGTTTTAGAGGAATATGTGTAGGAAACTTGGGAATGTGGTTCTCTGAACCACACTGATCTTACAGAACACACTCTTACGAACTGCGATGCCACACTCAGGTTGGGAAATGTACTTCCATGGTTGACTCATGGCTCCTCTCCTTTATTAACACAGGTTTTTATCCTAAGAGTTTCAAGAGATGGGATTTTTTTTCCCCCTCACTCTCCCATTAGCTCACTGTGTTTTGAAATTTACTTTTGATGACATCCTGGGGCAATGAAAGCTGTGTTTTGTCACCAGAAGGAGCAGCTGGTGTCCATGAATTCCATAGAAACAGAATGATGAGGACATTTTGAAAAGGTCTATGCTGGTGGCTGGGTTCAAAGAAATGTCTTTTATGATTCATATCACAGTTGGGATGCATGTGGAGTTTTAGATTTAGTGACTGCTAAAAGTTCCACCAGTGGGGGCTGGTCCAGGGTGGCGGGGGTGGAGAAACTTCCCAGTCTCAGATTTTATTTCTCATCAGAAGAAGAATTTATTACATTGACTTTTGGTAAGTTTTGTAAGAACAGGCTGTTTGCGATCTAGGAAAAAGCATTTAATACTTTCAGCAAACTCCTAGTATTTGGCTTGCAGCATATTGATTTCTCCCAAGTTGCCCTTTATTCCCTGCTCTTTCTCTCTAAGGAGTCCTGGTGTGGTGCTGTGGGTTAATGTGCTGGACTGCAAAGTTGGTTTGAATCGCAAGGTTGGCAGTTCAAGTTCACCAGTCACTCCTCAGAAACCCTATACAGAGTCGCTATGGGTTAGAATCGACTCAATGGCAGTTAACAACAGCAACTTTCTCTCTAACTTTCTGGACAGCCAACTGCTTGTTTATTTATTTTTAATATTTTGCTTCAACAGAGCTGCTCCCCCTACCACCACCAATATAGTATTTGAATTTGGTTTAAAATAAAAATACCTAAAGTCTCACGTGACATAGTCATGAACCATACTAGCAGTTGATTCCTCTCTCCTTCCTTCCCTTCCCCAAGAAAGGAAACGAAAGTGTGATGTGCACAGGGGTGTGTTTGTGCGTGTGTGTACACCCTGTTTATAGTTCAGGATCTCTGGCTGAATGAGCCCACATCCGATACATTCTAAATGGAATTTACAAGTTGCATTCGGGAGACTGACTTTCAGTGGCCTCCTATTTGCCCGTGCTTCTTCCCCACTGTGGCCCTGTTCAGCACTTCCTCACAGTTCATCCCATGTTGAGACATTACAGCTCAGCTGTCTTTGGAAGCAGCCTGATTGTCTTCTATGATTTTTCCTCAAGCAGGGATTTGGCTAGCTGCTGGTTTGACAGGGTTTCCTTGAAGCATGCAGCATAATAACAGAGAATCAACAAATGAGTTAGAATATCCTGTGATGCTTATAGCAAGCTGGGTGCCTCGTGAGCTCGGAAAACTGACAAGAGATCTTTCCTTCCTCTGGGTGTTGACAGCTCAGGAAAGAGAGATGTTAGGGGAAAGGAGCAGCTGCTCTGTCCTCATTCTTGTCAAAACACAGAATTTACCTTGCTTTCTTGCTGACATACATTCAGGAAAGAGAAGGGGGCTTTTCCCCCAGTACTGCTTTCTTAGTCTCTGTGCATACAGGCCCATCTGACTTTTCCATTCGATCCAGCAAGCACAGTACCTGGGGCCCATGATGCTTTTAGAATGCTTTAACTTCTTTGTAAACAGAAGAAAAATTAAACTTTTAAGATCAAAAAAGATTTTCATATATTAATATATTTGTCTTTGTATCAACGAAATTGTAAAACTTAAAAAAAAAATTTTTTTAGGGGAGGCAGAGGCTCTATGAAAACATAAATGCCTAGGGCCACATAAGTCATAATAAAGACTTAGCTGTTGTTGTTGTTGGGTGTCCTCCCTCAAGTTGATTCTAACTCATAAAGACTTAGTGTGATAGAACAGAACTGCCTATAGGGTGTTTTAGGCTGCAGGCTCTATGGAAGCAGATAATCAGATCTCTTCTCCTTCAGAGTGAATGGTGGGTTCAAACTGCTGACCTCTCAGTTAGCAGCCAAGTGCTAAACCATTGATTGCATCACTAGGTTTCATTAGTTCTGGTTGAGGGGTCTAGAAATACAGCAGGTAAAGGATGTGCTGTTATGCATCATCAGTACTCATGCCCCATCCTATGAATTATACACTACCCAGACAATCTGTGTGCCCCATCACCGCTAGGATTGGCCTTTGTTGAAAATATTTTGGATGGGAGTGAGTGAAATGAGATCAATTCTCCAGTTTGGCGTTTCCCCCCCTTTCCCTTCAGCTCATTGATACAGGGCAGGACTTGCTTGGAAACAATTCCGTTTTCATAGGAAAATCAGCTCCCCTTGGGTGTGCACTTGGGGGTCTGTTACCGTGGTGAAACGATGACTTTTTTTTTTTTTTTTTTAATTTAAGGTTTTTATTATGGATTGAGTGAAAGTTTACAGAGCACATCATCAGTTTCACATTCAACCATTCATATAACTTGTTTCATTACATTGATTATAATCCCCTCCATATACCACCAGTTAACAGTGTTTCTCTCTATCCTCTTTAGCTTTTTTTTTTGGGGGGGGGGAAGGGGGTTGGTGAAAAACTTTGTCTTTTTGGACTTTACCGTCTCGGCTTCTAGGGAAGGTTTTTACATTTATCTGTGGATATCCAGGGCTCATGTACGAGATTACTAGCAAGCATACTGAATAATCAGATGAGGGCCAGTTTGCTATGTCTGCTAGGTGACCAAAGTCTGATCCTCAGAGCCTATGGTTTGGACAGTCTGCAACGCTTGGGCCCACAGGGCCTTGAGCTCCTGACCGGGTCTGCACCTACTGCCACACATTCCCCCTTATTTATTATTTGTTTAAGGGACGCTGCCTGTCTTAGGCGGTCAGTGCGAATTCCTCCATCTTACCCGTCAGAAACGATGACTTTTTGTCTTAGTATTTTAAAATTTCTAAATTGCATTTTTTTATATATTGGTTAAAAATGTTTTGCTCAATTGATAAGACACCCAATTATTTTTGGGAGCAAAGATCTTTGAGGTGTTCGCTATGTATTGTGAATTCCAAAATAAATTTCAGTTCTATTCCTGTTCCTCTGATTTTTTATCCCCTCCAAGGAACCTTGGATTAGATAAATGTTCATAATCATTGTACTTAGCTTTGATATTGCTAACAAAGACTGTTTCTAGACTTTGTCTAACAGTTTTGAAAACCATAATTCATTTTCTCTGGAAAATCCAGTTTTGAGAAAGGTAGACTCAAATGTTCTCTTTTGATTTTAGTAGTTCATTTTGGAAAAGGCCAAACTGTTTGGATCACTTTAAAGGGCTTGCTCCAGGGTACAAGATAATGTTTGCCTTGGAATTTTTCTCACAAGTTATCCTGACTGTTGTTGTTATTGTTAAGTGCCGTCAAGTCGGTTCCGACCCATAGCGACCCTGTACAGGGTTTCCGAGGGTGTAAATCTTTATGAGAGTAGAAAGCCTGATCTTTCTATCCTGACTAGAGCCAGTATATTCTGACTCTTCTAAATTTCAGGGTGACTTCAGTTTCAGGACTAGTATAATAAGTTCATCATTCAGTTTCGCTTCCAGAAAAATTAATGATGAGAAACTGACATAATGGGTTTCACCTTCCAAGATTCTTTCCACTGAGATTTCCAATTACCCCCTCGTGCTGCTGTCTGAAAGGTTAATTTTAAAACTAGTACCATATCTAATTGTGTTAGAAGCACATGACTTCTAAAGGACAAATCTATATAAATGATTACCCTTGGAAGAAAACTGCACATAAGCAGTTTATCCTCCTTGGTTAAAGAACGTTCCTTTCAGCTCTGCTGTGGTACGAATACTGCTTTAAGACTCTGTACATATTGTGTGGTGTACTGTTTGCACAGAGGAAGTCATTACAGACACGTGTTCTCAATGGTTTCACTAATTATACTTGTCTGACAATAAATCACCTTAAAGAAGCCATGTTCTCTCCTCCCTCCTCTCTTGACTCCCTCCACCCTCCTTTTCCACGTGGTGCTTCTTCCTGTGCCTATCATTCTTTCTCCTTTTCTGCCAGTCTCTCCTCAGTGTATATCTGACCTTGGTCACAAAGAATGCTCGATGTCCCTCTGTGTTCCCTGCCTGTCTTTTCTTTCAGGAGTTTTGAGGTTCACCTTTATCCCATTACCTGCTCTCTAGGAGTACCAGGCTCAAGTAGAAGAAATGAGATTGATGATGAATCAGTTGGAAGAAGACCTTGTCTCGGCAAGAAGACGAAGCGATCTCTACGAATCTGAGCTGAGAGAGTCTCGACTCGCTGCTGAAGAATTCAAGCGGAAAGTGACAGAAAGTCAGCATAAACTGGTGAAGGTAGCCAGCCCCTCCCAGAAAAAACCCGCGTGTACTGTTTTTTTGTGGGGTAGCATCATGGGTGATCTTGGCAAAAATAAAGGGAATACTCTCTTAATGATTATATGTTTGGAGGGTGATGGGATACCTTGGAAAGCTTCCAGTTATAGAAGATAGCTTATTTTGAAGGAGTCCTTAGATGATGCAAATGATTAAGTATTTGACTACTAGCCAAAAGGCTGGCAATGTAAACCCACCCAGAGGTACCCTAGAAGACAGGACTGGTGATCTGCTTTTGAAAGGTCACGTCCTTGAAAACTCTGTGGAGTACAGGTGTACACATGGGGTCATCATGAGTTGGCATTGATTTGATGGCACTGACAACAATCATCAATTCAGACTTAATCCCCCAAAGTGCGATAACTCAATATGTTTTGGTCATGGAGATTAAGATTGTACTGTAGATAGTCTTGTCTAGAAGACTTTTAGGTCTCTGAGATTTCCCAATATATTATATGTCTTTTTCGTTACAGGCTAAGGATCAAGGGAAGCCTGAAGTGGGAGAATATGCCAAACTAGAGAAGGTATTTTCCATTATTGGTATCACTGTTTGGGATAGATCTTATTTCTCTGTCAATTTCAGTGGTCAGTTTTAGTTTTCTTCGACAAAAACTTGCAATGAAGAGAGGACTCTCGTCCACATTCATTATGATGATCAAGTTTGGGTGGCTACCTTTGGCCTCAGCTGTGGTTCTAAAAGGTTATGGAAAAAGACACCTCATAGCTAGGCCTACCTGCTAACAGTAAGAAACAGGCTCCAGGTCCTCAGTGAGATAAAAGTACAATGGAAATTCTTATTGCTGGAAGGCACTGGGCAACTTTGACTCTCTTTTCCATTGATATGCTGCTGGGCCTAAGTAGCCAGTAAAGAGGCCTGAATCCAATGAAAGCAGATTGCCCTGGGATTTTCAAAGACTTTACTTCCTCTTCATTAGTATGTGCTGGAAAGCAAAGCAAAAGAACCCCACAGAAACCTCAAGAAATTGAGACTGCAATAAATGTAGCAAAATTTTAATGCCTATTTGCCTTGTGCTTTATTTCCTGGTTTTTTAACTATAGATCAATGCTGATCAGCAACTCAAAATTCAGGAGCTCCAAGAGAAACTGGAAAAGGTAAGCCCAGGTGGTTTTTCTTTTTTAAGAATTTACTCCTCATTCCCACATACCTTCCTTTGCCTTGTCCTAGAACACTCCAGAAGAAACAGAATTAGTGACCCAGCAATGAGGAACATGAAGAGAGTGAGCTGTATTATTTGAAACTCTCAGAGTTCTGAATACATTTTCCCTTGAGACATATCAGCAGTGTTTATTTTTAAAAACCAAGCTGTGCGCGACTCTCAAATAAAAGTTCTAATCATCCTCCAGCAGAACCTGACAGAACTAGAGAGGCCAGTTTCACTTCCCTTAGGAGACCAGGCTTCCCATTCTGCACGTTTGTAAGAGAAGCATGTGTTGTTCACACTCCAGGCAGCTTTCAATCAGTAACTTGCTCAGCAATTATGAGAGGGCCTGCACATTGGAAGGAGTCCCTGGGTTAACACACTCAGCTGCTGTCTCAAGGGCTGAAGGTTTGAGTCCACCCAGAAGTGTCTTAGAAGAAAAGGCAGGCGGTGTGCTTTTGGAAAACCTTACGGGGCACGGTTCTACTCTGACATACCTGGTTTCGTCACAAGTCCGGACTCAATGGCAGCTGGTGCCTTCATTGGAATACAGAAGGATATGTGACGGCACCTGATGGATTGGGACAGGGTTCACAGGGTCCCTCAACATTTGTGCTATGTTAGTTATGTACCCTAAGAAAGAAAAGAAAGAAAGAAAAAATGCTGCCAATTATAATGGTAGTATTCATCCAGAACTAAGTGATGTTAAAGTATGTTAAAAAAAAACAACAACTCCACTTTAGAATGAATGAACAAAAGACAGGATAAAACAGGAGCCACAGGGGACCTGGTTCTTCAAACCCACCGGCCACTGCTTGGAAGAAACAGACTTTCTGCTCTCAGAAAGACTTAGTCTCAGAACCTGTAAGGAGCAGTGCAGCTCTGCTCTCTAGAGTCACTGTTAGTGAGAATCAGTGGTTTGGGTGGTTGTTGTTGTTGTTTTGTCTTTTGGGATAAATGGACTACTGACTCAGTATCAATGGCCTTTTTTCTCCTAGAGTGTCCTGACCGTCATTCTACATGAATAAATTTGTCCGTCTGTCTCTTGTTCCTTCTGTCCCTATAGGCTGTCAAAGCCAGCACAGAGGCCACCGAGCTCCTTCAGAATATCCGCCAGGCAAAAGAGCGAGCTGAGCGGGAGCTGGAGAAGCTGCAGAATCGGGAAGATTCTTCCGAAGGCATAAAAAAGAAACTGGTGGAAGCCGAGGTGAGCAGGGCACCTCTAGCCCACAACAGCCAAGTCCGGCCCCTGGCACTGCCACCTGCAAGCATGTGTGACTGGCCTTTGGCTGTGCCAAGGGAAAGAAACTTTAAAACCATCACTCACTTACATTTGACCCAACCGCTTTCCCCTCTGAACATTCCTTTGAAACATGAGAGACTTTGAAATGTTTTTCCCAAAAGTGAACAAGATTTGTTACAGCAAATTCAAGCAGAATGAAGACGTTTTGACGGAAGCTCCTTCTTTTCTTTTATCTTCCTCTGACCTCCTCACTAACCTGGGAGAATCTATGTTTGTATAGGTTCAGTATATCTCCATCGCTGAGTTTTCCTCTCTCTTTCCTGTGTACCCTATTTTTCTTTGCCTTTCCTCCACAGTATTAATACTAATTGATTGTCAAAGCTTCAGCTGTTGCCTGTATGTTGATGACTTCCACATCTATAGTGTTGGGTCTCTCCTCTCCTTCAAATTCTTTGTTGTTGTTGTTGTTGTTGTTGATATTATTTATATTGTTATCTAGGAACAATATACAAATGTCTTCCTATTGCAAAAAAAGGTGCACAGTACTGAAGAACAGAGAACAAAGGGACTTTTCTCCTTTACTCCTCTCTCCTCTCTCCCCTTGGTGTTTGAATGTGCCATGGTTGATTTAATTGTCCTGTTGATGGTCCTTCTGCGTTCCCCTGTCCCAGTGTTGGTGTGATCCTACTACTTGTGCATGTCTCTTTGGGGCCATTATCATTCCTATTCCACTCCTGTATTTCCCTTGCCCCGGTGACATCTCTACTGGGTGTCTCACAGTAAGTGAATCACATTTAGAGAGTAATTCATGGCGAGTCTACGGACTATAGGTGCAGCCACACAGTCTCTCCCGCTTCTCCCCTATTCACCATTTCTGTAGCGTCCTCATAATCCCAACTCTCTTCCTCTTCACTGAGCAAATGGAATAATCTCTTGACCTTTTTGCTTTCAGCATTCCCTTCCTCCCGGATGGCTCCCACAATATAAGATTCAAGGGCCTCAAGCCCAAGGCTCCTCAGGATCCCCACTCTGCCCCATCACACCCTCAAGCACCCTTGAACCTGGTTCATGAAGCTATCAGTAATTTGACCCATAAAAGCTCCCCTTTTACCCTTTCTCCTGCTGATTCCCCTCTTGCACCTTGTTTTGCCACCACTCTAGAAGTTAACCTGGTGTCTACTCTAACTTTTGACCATCTCTGTGTTCCTAACCCACCACACTTTGTCTGAAACACCTGCCAGCCTCTTCTCCTGCCCCGACTTCCACCCCCACGTCCCCTCCACAGCTCACCACCTCTCTGATTCCTGAGCCACCGTTTTGTTAGAAGTCCTTCTTCCTGCCTGGAACTGTTCATAGCATTTTGTACGTATTTCTTTTGTGCTTTTTTCCTCCGTTAACCTGTTTGTGTCTGTCTTGTCTTTTCTAAGGACAGGAATTATGTCTTCTTCCTCTGAGTTTTCCATGATGCCTAGTGTGGTACTTTGCAGGTAGTAGGTGCTTGGTAAATATTTGAATGAATGAATGCACTCTGGTAGCAGACACAACTGAGTACTTGAACTATAGGGTCTTGTCTTCTTCACCGTTGCATCGGGGGCCTGTAAGTTTTCTTCCTGACTAGAGTGTGCGCTTCTGGAGGGCTCTTTCCCTCAGTGCAGGCGTTGATGCCCACAGCGGTTACTCCATTAAAACTCTCTGATTGATTCACGATCTGCAGGAACGCCGCCATTCTCTGGAGAACAAGGTAAAGAGGCTAGAGACCATGGAGCGTAGAGAAAACAGACTGAAGGATGACATCCAGACAAAATCCCAACAGATCCAGCAGATGGCTGATAAAATTCTGGTGAGCAGGAACGAAAGTGAAAAAGTTCAAAGCTAACAGGTTAGAGGTTGCCGAGGGAAGGGGGCAAAGTGAAGAATTCAGCTCTGAAACAGGGGGAGGTACCACTGAGTTAGGTCAATAAAGAGAGGTGCTTTCAGTGAACGAACACCATACCAGAGAATAGGGTGAATAACCAAACGTTGGGCACTTCAGTGCTGTTAACAGGTCCATACGTATTAAGTTTTGCTCTGTTTGCAGCTGCCTGGCATCTTTAGGTAACAATTTGCATACTCTGTCCTTTTTTATGTATTTTCTATGAGACCATTGCATACTTCTATCAACAGAGCTTTGCATGGCCTTGAACTTTGTAATGCCAATTTAAAAAGCTGTAGGAATTTCGATCTTTAAGACCCAAGCCCAGATTCTTGTTGTGGGGAGAGAAGAGAATGAGTCATGCAGAATTGTTTTTCTCAGAGTAGTATTTGTCATAGATCTCTGTGCACCCACTCACTTTCTCTGCTACAGTTTGTTACTTTATTTTACTTTTTCAATTTCCTTAGATGTAGCAGGTCTTTTTTTAGCTTTCTAATCATCATGATTCTGTTTTTGGCTCTGATGACCAAATTAACTTAAGCAAGGAAGGCTTGGATGGTGCCGACATGTTAAGTTCTTCACCTGCCAGGGTGACAGGCAGGTGAACCTTAGAAGGATTTTCCTTGTGTCTTCGTCCCAAAGCCAGAGCTCTGATGCAGCATTTGAGAGATTTCATAATGACTGTTTATTATCCCATCCCTGCTCCCTGCCTTCTGTAATAGTGGGCAGCTCCTCTTCTTAAAAGGAGGCCAGGTGGCCAGCAGGTCACTGCCTCTCCGTGTATCCCTCTGGAAAATGAGGCACCAGCAGCTGTTTGAACTCAAGAATGGCCAATTTATAGGCATATGCTTAATATATATTAAAATAAAAAAAAAAAAAAAAACACCTTCAAAACTTTACCTTTCTGTTTGTATACATTTACAAATATATGGAATGTCCTTGAACAAACAGGTAAAAGAGAAATTGGTAAAATTGCTTTGCTTTGACAATCTTCATTATATTATATTGGGTTAAGAGTTAGAATGCTGACCACAAGGTCAATAGCTCAAACTTACCAGCTGCTCCACAAGAGAACAATGAGGCTGTCTACTCCTATAAAGACACGCAGCTTCAGAAACCCCCAGGAGAGGGCTGCTCTGTCCTGTAGGATTGCTGTAATTCAGAATCGACTTGATGGCAGTGAGTTTGCTCTGGGTGGTTTTATATATAAATGTCTGATGTCTGCACACAAAAGGAACTGTTAGTCTAGCCTTGCTGTGCTCTTTCTTGTTCCATCATCCAAGTTCCTCTTAGTTTTTGTCAAGTGTGTGAATCACATTGTCAGTAAAATGAGATCCCACCACCACTATCTCTTGCTTGGTACAAATGAAGCGGCTAACTTGTGGTTGCAAGGCGTTTCTCTGTTTAATGGTGATGTGTTCATTCATTCATTCAACAAATATTTAATGAGCTTCTACTATGTGCCAGGCACTGTTCTAGGAGCTGGAAATACAGCAGTGAACAACAGTGTTTGCACAAGAGGACTGAAGAGTTGATCTGTTCTTACGGAAAAGTTATGTTAAAAGAATGACAACAACAACAAAAAATGCACAAAGATGTCAGATTTCAAAATAATCTGCTTTTCCAAATGTTCACTTGCAATGAACATGCAGGTTTAAAGAGTTTTACATTCCTGGATTATGTGTTGCAAACTCTCAGTCATAAATAGTCCAGAAATTTAGTCTTAAATTTGCCAGCCCAAGGTGTCCAAGTTTTGGACCTACTTTTAGAGCCTGATTTCCTTTCCTGCACTATCTTATTAGGACCAAAAATAAGAAAAGGTGATTATTGTGTGATTTCTAACTTGATCACAAAGTAAGCAAATTTGTTTCACTGATTGTGCCTTGCCACCTGCCCGAGTGCCTTCATGTTCGTTTGCTTAAGAACCCTGTACATAGAGTGTGTCGCATCAAGGACCTGGGCAAAGAGTGGTCCTTGATACTGTTATATAGTGATGTGCTTTGGAAACAGATCCAGAAATGTCATTTGCTTTAAAATATTTACTATTCTGACAAAAAGTTTCAAAACTGGCAACAGGGCTCTCATTGTAGCAGAGTCTTTTGGTTTAATGAAAGAAGTTGTTCCAAGGGGATTCTTCAGGGAGTACACATGCAGCCCTTAGAATATGATTTTATTAATGAAAATCCTGTTTACATTCAACTTTCCAGGATCACATCTGTCAGGCTGCAATAGATCCTTGTGCACCTGGTCTTAAGATTGAACGCTCTAATGGCTCCCAAAGCAAAGTCTGTGATTGTAGACTTTAGAATTTCAAAAGCTTAATCACTAACTTGTTATGTGCATATGAATCTGAATGTATCCCCCTTTTATGAGCATATCCTGTATAATCTCCTCATTCTTCAGAACCCTCATAATTGCCTGCAGTTCAAAGAAAAAAATTTCATAAGCTCTAACAGATGAAAACTTAGACTAATGTCTTTTGATATTAGTAATTAACTAATGGGTCCAGATTCATAAGAATTAATATAGATTCAGAAATCTGTGCATTTAGTGAATGTTTCAATGAACAGATGGTGCCTTTTAGAAGATCAGGTTATAACACATCGGCAAGTGAATTGGTATAATTTTCAAATAAACTATCATTTTGTTTCAAAGTGGAAAACTTAACAATAAAAGACCTAAGATGATATTTAATTTGAGCTACTCACATTATTCCAAATCCTCTTCTCGTCTTTAGTGTATGTGCATATATTGTAACCTCATGATTACTTGTATATGTTGCGTTCGGCTTTGTTCTCATTAGCTTCAGGTCCTTTAAATGTTATATCGTGTAAACATCTCCAGATAGTCACCTAACCCACAGACCAATCCATTCAAATGATCATTTTTAAAACTTGAAGTGTTGGAATTGTAACATTTGTTTTCCTTCATAGCTAGATTTCTTGAGCAAAAAGTTTGTGAATGAGGAAAATAACAAAATACTTTTTGTCATACTGATGAATTAAAATGACTTTTCTCATTTAAGGTTGTTATAAGTAGTGAAAGCAGACGGAGACGTGAGATAGTAGTCAGGGACTTTGTGCTGTACAACATTTTCAGACATTGCCTGTGGGAAATGAAGAGCAGCCCTTGCTTGACCTTGTCACACCAACACAGTTCTGAATCCCAGCCCTCACAGCCCACCAACTGTGCGTGTGTGTGTGAATGTTTGCACTTGGAAAACTCCAGGCCCAAGAATTGCTTGGTGACTTACTTCCCAAGAGCCTTAGGGGTAGTCATGGCGGAACAGATGCCTGTTACCTGTGGTGTCTGAACCAAAGTCACGTTTCCTGTGAATGTCTCACAGACTTGGGTTACATCCTTCCCTTTGTCCACCTGATGCTCTGTTCCTTTCTCTCCAGGAGCTGGAGGAGAAGCACCGCGAGGCCCAGGTCTCAGCCCAGCACCTAGAGGTGCACCTGAAACAGAAAGAGCAGCACTACGAGGAAAAAATTAAAGTAAAGACACTTTCTGATTGCACCTGACTTTCATTGTATAGCACCGTCTAGCTTCTTCTCTTCCTGGGCACTTCTGCCTCTGCCCAAGCATTTGTTTAGAGCAAATATTCT